AACATTGAACCACTGTAGTATTATACCATTATAGTACTGTTTTAACGATGTCTTTTCTATTTTTCTGGGCCTTGAAAGTGTTTTTGACGTTGCTGTCTATAGGGGGGTCAGAAAGCTCTCGGATTTCATCAAAAATATTTGAAACGACATGAGGGTGAGTAATTAATGACAGGAATTTTATTTTTGGGTGAACTAACCCTTTAAGTTGAACCAAAACTGAACTAAAATTACAGTAAAACTAAATCAAATATTAAACAAAACAAAATTACTAAAACTTAATCTAAATTTAAAACCAAAAATAGTTATAAATACAAAAAAAAAAAAATTGCCTCGTTAGTTTACCCAAAATCTCAGTCTTCCAATGAAAATGACAGATTTCTTGCTGGTGACATATGCCCCTCCACAATTGACTGCAAGCTCACATTCAGATCTGCTGCCATTTAGTCAACAACTGATGGATAGAAGAAAATCCCCATTTCATTGCGACTTTAATTTCTTTCATTCTAACAATAAGTGTGTTAACCATACATGAAACTTTTGTCAGTGTAGTGATGGAAAGGCAGACGGTGTTCTATGTTGACTGCAGTAAAATGCAATAATCCGTAGCAGCTGACAGAGAGGTTCCCAGGTGCCGGTGTCATACTCCTGCTGTCAAACAGGTGTGCCACATCTGCCTGCTAATCACCTAGCAGAGCTCTAGCCAGTTTCTTGTGTCCATGGCAATCGAGTTATATGTTTCAGGATAATTTGTGAATAAATGTCTTCCAAAAAGAGGGATACTCCACCCAAAAATGAAAATTCTGTCATCATTTACTCACCCTCAAGTTGTTGCAAACCTGTATGAGTTTCTTTCTTCTGCTGAGCACAAAGGAAGATATTTTGAAGAACGATTGGAACCAAACAGTTGTTTGGCTCCATTGACTTCCATAGTAAAAAAAAAAATACTATGGAAGTCAAAGGTGCCAAAGTTCCAATCGTTCTTCAAAATATCTTCCTTTGTGTTCATCAGAAGAAAGAAACTCATACAGGTTTGCAACAACTTGAGGGTGAGTAAATGATGACAGAATTTTCATTTTTGGGTGGAGTATCCCTTTAATAATACAGTAAGTACATAATTACAGTATACTTAACATTGTATGCATGTCGTTTATACATCTAACTTGTTAGTTAGCGGTAGAAGGCTTCAGTTCTTAATCATATTTTAAAATGTTCATTACTCAAATTCAAGACAATAAATCTTTCAGAAATGTCTTTCACATACAGACGGCATACTGACTCGCAGTAAAGACTATTCTAGTCTAATTGCAGTGTGTTTTGAATTTTTCCACTTGTTAAACCATTTGCCTTTCTGTCACAGCGACTGGCTTGTCAGTAAACCTGCACAACAAATATTGCTTAACTTGATATACCTGTTAAATTTAGCCTGATTTGTCTTAGTTTAAATCAAATGTGATGCAACAAGTGAATTAATTTAAGTAATTGTTGCTTCCTTAAAGGGTTAGTTCACCCAAAAATGAAAATTCTGTCAGTAATTACTCACCCTCATGTTGTTCCAACCCCGTAAGACTTTCGTTCATCTTCGGAACACAAATTAAGATATTTTTGATTAAATCTGAGAGCTGGATCACTCCTCCATAGGCTTCTTAAGGGATCGAAACTGGCCGGACCAAAAGTTATGAAAGACATCGTTAAAATAGTCCGAGTGACTACAGTTGCTCAATCTTAAGTTTATCAAGCGACGAGAATACTTTTTGTGCGCAAAAAAACAAACAAAAATAACGACTTTATTCAACTACTCATTTCCTTCCCTGTGGGCCTTGAGATTTCACGTAGTGATATTGCGCAAAGCTTCTGTGTTGCACGTTACACGTAGGCTCACTATTGGCCGACGCTGGTCATGTGTGTGATGCGTGTGACGTACAACACAGAAGCTTTGCGCAGTTCCACTACGTGAAATCTCAAGGCCCACAGGGAAGGAAATGAATGAACAGATGGAAGATGAACGAAAGTCTTACGGGGTTGGAACAACATGAGGGTGAGTAATTACTGACAGAATTTTCATTTTTGGGTGAACTAACCCTTTAATTCTTAACTACTCAACATTACATTTAATTCAGTTGTGGTTCAAATTAATGTTTTTAACACTCGATTGGGGCATAATTAAATGAAAATGTAATGCAAATCTGTGCAGTTAACTTAAATGAAAACATTACAGTTAATTTTAAGTTTCACTTAAAATGTTAAGTGAAATAAAATAAAATGGCTACAAAAAGAATAAAAGAAATACACAAGTGAAATGAAATAAGTTGAAGTACTAAAATGATTTAAACTAAAAGTGAAATGCAAATAAATTAAAACTAAATAGAAATATTAAAAAAGCAATAACTAATAAAAATGACAAACACACACAATTACTAAAACTAAATAATATTAAAACAACACTGATGTAAACGGTCTTTAGAATGTGATTATATTTGTCTCTTCTGCATTGGCTTTAAATGTTTGTCTCTAACATATAGCACACGTGAGGTGATCATGCTGTGCCTCTCTCTGGAGAAAGGGAGGGAGTCTGGGAGTTAGTTTTAGCATCGATCTTGCGATGTGCGCATCTGCGATACTCACATCAAAGGATGTGTGATGTCAAGCATGGGCATCAGTTGATCCGTACGGATCAGGCACCACACAATTTTCTGAACTTTAACCATCATAGAGAGGAAGTTTATCATGTTCTGTCTTTGTCATTAATCTTAATTAAACAACAAAACACATAGAAAACATCTATGTAGCTTTAACAAAGATTATATTTAATTTATAAAAAAGACTATGCAGTGTTATTTTACATGTGATTATTGGTTATTGAATTCCTGTACCTGAATACTGTTAGACTTACCTGAAACACATAAAGCATTTACCTATGATTATAATTTTTTTTATTATTATTTTCTATGCAGATGCACTCCCCTACAAAATCACCACAATCATTCTAGAATGATTAATTCTCTCCAAATAGAGCTATTCATGTCATCTGGTGAAATTTTTTGTTTTCATATCGCAATGTCTACCACAGAAAACCTAAATATTGTCAGGTATATGTCCGTTTTTTCCAATATCGTGCAGCCCTACTGGGAGTGTCTTTGTTCTATTAGATGGATTTTTTCCCCCATGAACCATCAATTATTTACAAGGGAACTTGCTCGTAAAGAGCACAAGAAAGGCCAAAGCCTGAAATGGCCGTGGAAAGGTCAAACCATCTGTGTTGCTTTTCACAAAATGAGGATATATTAATAACATTTTTGACTGGCCACTGTTAGGAGTGATCTAGAATGTCACAAACACATGTGACTGTCCGTCTTTGTGTCCTGAAGGCACATACCTGACAATGTCATGTCAAGTTTACTCCATATGTCATGTCACTATTAAACAAAATGAAATGTCCCTATACGGCCTGCCAGATATTACTGAAAGAGTTGTTCTGAGAGATCACACCTGTCTATGTGGAGATGGCACAATAGAATCTGAACACAATAGCCAATCAGAGTGGTTTATCCCTGTCATTAGTGCTGCATCCCACTTTGCCTACTTGTACTACGCCACTCAATACTTTTGAGTGTGTAGCAGAAGAGTAGACAAGCTTTGGTACATGCAGTAAATCACGTCATAAAATTGCATCTTTAACGTACACTCGGGTTGGTCACATAGTTACATGCATCCTGTTACAATAAACTGACCTGTCAATCATCTTCTCACAGTTAACATCCTCCACATTATATTTCATTTCATTTCCTACCATATTGGAGAGAAAAGTAAACTGGCAAACACTTGATGCATTTAAAAGTTAATGGCCAAACGGATCTTTATAAAAGTTTGCGTTGTTGCAGATGAAATATAACACAGATAACATTAGATCCATATTTTTATCAGGATTTTGCACATCCGCCATGTTTGTAGTTTTTAACACAATTTATTGGTGTTTGTAGTCTGAACCGAATCCTCCAGTGGGTTGTGCGCAATATTAGCCATTCGAGTGTGCACAGATTTTGAAAATTTACCGGAAATAGTAGACGATCCAGGGACTTTTTGTCAACATACTATGCTTTGGGACACACTTATTCTAATGTAGTCGAGTCCGCTTGTAAAGATGGTCTGCCATGGTTCACAGTTGTTCGCTAACAGTTTGGTAGTTCCTTGAGTAGTTCCGATTTCTTTCCCGTGTCAGCAGGTCTCTTTACACTGATATAACCGTGATCACGTCCACATGTTCCAACAGCTGAGGGGAAGAATTAGCACACTTACTGAATAGCCCTTTGTTGAAATCATGTTCACTCTCCTAAGCACTGATTCAGCAGCCTAGCTTTGCCACAACACTTCATTCTTCAAATACCTTTTTAACAAATGTAACATCAACACATTAGTCTATAAGCACACTGTATCAAAAATATCCTATTGATTTTGTGCTTAAAAAAAAAACGTCTCTAATTCACCATAAAAAAAAACTATGGTAACAATGGTTTAGGTATTATAGGATGGGTATATTGGTGTCTGTATATTTTACAATTTATATTTCATTGTGATATATTGTTAATATACCAAATCTACCAAAATCTGCTTTGTGCCTTAATACGTACGATAACCACATAGAAAGACACATGATGAATGAGAGATCATCATAAGTGGCCTGTCCATAAAAGATGGCCAATATGTAGACTGCGCACTGGGTCATAAACACAAGACACTAAACTAATGCAATAAACATGAATAACAACATGCAACACAAAACACCCTAATAAAAATGAATACAATTATTTAATTATAAAATATACCGTTAATCACTTCTGGGAATGTCCTTTTACTATTGTAAAATTGATTGCAATTCATAGTTTTTTACTCGCAGAAAAACTAAATTTGACAGTATTTTACAATAAAAGCATATATGGTAAGTAAAGTTGATGTACAATCTCCAGAATGTTAGACAAACAGTGACCCCTTTTGTGTCTCCACAGGTTCTCTACACAACTGTCCAGATGGGTTGCAGTTGCTGTAGGATGATAAAAGGGTAAGACGGAAAGTATAAATAGTACAGATTTTTTTTATTCTCAAGTATTCTGTCTTGAAGATCCTGATATTTCTCACATAGCTGCTGTTGTTTAATAGCAATGTCAGATTGTAGTCTCTCAAACCCTGACCTGAGAATTTATTATTTTTTTAAACTGTGATTCAGCAATGCTCTGTTTTCTGTCAGTGGACATATTCCTTTGGTTTATATCTTACACTTCGAAATATATGTAGGTTGTTTTGATGCAAAAAGTTGAATTCACAGTAAATACACACAGATTCACACTCTCAAACTGCCCTTTAATTGCTTAATGTCACATTTCTGGGCTTAGCTTGAGCTGCGAGAATTGCCTCATGCAAATACTACAAATACATGCTTTCTTATGGCATTTAACATTAGCGTGTACTGTAGTCTGCTTAGTGTCAAATCTGCAAAAACAACACCCACACATTTGAACTTAATTTAATATGATATGAAAGTATACAATTCTTAGAGTTTAGCAAGATAGTATCAGGATGTTCTACTACATAAAATTGTATTTTGATACCACAGGCCCATTTTCACATACATACTTAAGGGATCCAATCCTGCTCCTGCGAGGCCACCTTAACGAAAACCCTGATTAAACACACCTGAACCATGTAATCAAGAAATATCCAGGCATTTTTTTTGGAGCAGGTGGAGTTCATATCTGCAGGAAAGCGGCCCTTCCAGTATTAGGTGAAAATATGCACGTTCGGAAATCCACTGGGAAAAGTATGCAGTCTGGGTATCAATTTCTTTACCTTTTTGATATCTAAAAGTATCAACTGTTTAGGGTGGATAGAATGTGAAAAGTTCCCAGGCTTTTCTTGCATTATGTCAGATGCTGCTGCTGATAAACATTAGCATTCTACTCTGTTGCAACTTTTACCAGGCAAAACGGATTCATTACTAGTAGGCAGTGTGTGTTTTTATGGGGGTAATGTTTACTTAGGTTAAAATATCTTATCCTGTCAGGTAGAGTGGAAAATTTCATTTCATCCACCCTGAAACTGTTAATCTAAAATGGATTTAAGCAGAGATGGGTGCTCAAACATGTGGAGAATTTATAATGAATCTGTGTAGTGAAAATGGTCTCATGTAATACATTGTATCAATACACTAAATGCATTGAATATGACTGCGGAGACGCACAAGGATAGACAGATAAATACATGAAAATCTTTTTGAGTTTGACATTGGCTGAATAACCTGCCTCTATTTTTCCATGTGGATTTTCGGCTGGCAAAGGGTGTGAAAAACAGAAGGATCTCAGCAGGAAGTGTCTGACACAAATACACCAGGCACACTTTGCCACACACACACACAATAGTTTTTGATACATGTCTCTTATTCTCTTGTTGTTTTCACAATTCTCTTCCTGCTTTCTGCTCATTTACAGTGTAATTTGGTGTAAAGATAGAAATGGAAATATTGTTATGTCATAAGGTGGAAAAACAAATCCCTAAAAGAGGAAATAGGATATAATACAATGTTATCACTCATAGTAAACCTGTTTTTATAAATGTCGTTTCGCTACAGTGACTGTGCTTTCGTCAGTAAGGCTGTTTGCCTGTGCTATGCAAATTATGTCAGGTTATCAGGTTACAGATTTTATTTCAGCATTTTAAAAGACGTTTTGTAGTCGGTGTCTTTTGAAATTTCACAACAAATCCTGTTATTCACAAAATATCTTTTTCATCCTGGTCGCTAATATATTCAGTATCGGAATGATCTTGGAGGGAGAGAGAACGCAACATTCCAGCTTAAAAAAAACCTCTTTGCTTCAAGGCTAACCATCGGTCAACCACTAGTATTGAAACAGTGTTATTTGACTTTATATCTTATATGACTGGTTATTGCATAGGGGTGTAACAATATATCATGTCACAATATATCACAATACAAAAATGCAACAATATGTTTTGTGGATAGTGACAATTGTGTATAGTTCACCCAAAATAAAAATTATTGTGAGAAAAAATTCAAGTTTACAGAGATTTAGTGTCAGTACTGCTATATATAATGTATAATAATGCAATGGGGGACTGTTTGTGTAAAAAGCTTACATTATTTTAAATATATCTAGTCAGTGACAAGAGTGCAAGCATATTCATCTAAAATAATTCTGTATTTTCAGCTTCAGAATCATGAATATTTGTATTCTGGTGTCACCATTGTCCTGTGCATTGGGTTTCCAGCACCAAGTCCAAGCCTATTTATCTACATGTAACACCATATTTAGCATTTTAATCAACAGTTCATTTTTTGTTAACCTTTTACCATGTCTTGGAGTATCGCAATATCGTATCGTGAGTTCAGCATCATGATATGAGGGTATCGTTACACCTCTATTATTGAATCCAAACTGGGTTATAATGTTTATTTCCACCAAAAGTCATTTCATTAAACCCTTTTCTCAACCCCCTCTCTGTTTCAGTTACATCTATGACCCCTCAGTCCCAGTAGATGTTCCTGGTCGGAAGCGGGACCCCACCGGCAGCTCTCTGTATCAGTCTCACACATTCCCCGAGGAGGCGGGCCACATCCACAAGAAGCAGGGCTTCCACAACCTGGGATACAGCACCCAGCCCAGCCCAACCAAACTCGACATAGACAACAACCACATCAACCGGCTCCATGCTAATATTCCAGGCGAGCAGATCCGATCGAGCCCAGCGGAGACTGACCCGAGCCTTTACATCCTCCAGCCCGAGGGTGAGGGGACGCCCATAAAAGCTGCTCCAAACTTACACGCCAACCAACCCTTACAGAACGAGCTGATGTTGGGAACGGAGCCTGGTAAGAGGGAGGAGAGATTCCGAGACTCTGGCCTGGGCAGCGGGGGGATAACAGACGGGACAGAGGGATCGGATGGTTATCCCTATGGACAAGAGGAAGAAGACGAGGACAGGAAGAGCAGGCTGGCCGGTACTCCGGACACAGCCGATGAGGAAAGCGTGCTGTCTGTGGACATGCACACCAGCAGTACAAGCCTTTCCTCAGCAGACACAAAGCTCATGGTAGAGGACAGAGAAGAGAAAGAGCCCTCGATTGTGATAGGAGAGCAAGAGAGAGAGAAAGAGATGGATTGTGTGAGCGTCACCGAATCAATGGTGGCTGAGGCTTTGGCCGCCCTGGACGCAGCGACTGCGGGAGAAGATTCTGAGTGACGGTCAGGTGATGCAATACTTGATGGGAGATTTCCATACTCGCTCTCTCTCTCCACATTTGAATACAGCCAAATTATAGCGCTCATAAAATGGAGCTTTCCCTACAGTCTGTTTGTAGGTACTTTCATTTTGAATGGAAAAAAATCAAATGAAGACTTGATAACAGGAACTGCTGCTTGTTTACACAACACAAATTGACTATTTATGAGATGTACTTGAGCAAATGACTCATCTGTGCGATTCGGAGACATGGACAAACTCCATTCTCAGACCAAACAGAACAGATTGTTGGGTGATATTATTATTTTTTTGTCTTTCTCTGTGCTGTTTGCGTATACACTACAGCATAATAATAATCAAATAAGCTGTTTCTTATCGTCAAATATTATTTCAACGTGATGAAAGCCCTCTCCTTCTGTAGCTTCTGTGTGGAGGTCGGGCTAAATCAAAGCACTACATCATTATTTTCATACATTTTCTATACAAAGAAGTGGTGAAAAGCAAATAAGCCAGTGTCCTGGGGTGGGGTTACTTCTGTGCTTATTGCACTTTTAGAGATGTTATATAATTATCAAACTGCTTAATACAGTGAAATCAAGCTCAGTCAACTTAGTTTCAACAGATCAATATGCTATTTCTTGCTTGTTACACTGTGAATATATCATATACCCTCATAGAGCTGTAGGGCGACATGTGCTTTATTTGTACACATAAATGTACAGCAAGAAATGGAAGGAGATTGTGGGTGAATCTCATGAAAACAGATTTCAACCTGAAACAACAAAAAGGGAAATTTTATTTTGCATAAAAATGCATATTTAAATGAAATATTTTATTAAAATACAAAAATACTATCATAACGTATAAATACTATGTACAACATAAGTCATATATTTAGAGAACTTTGACAGTGCAGTAAAGAAAATCTGATTAGACAATACTTAATTGTCGTGCAAAGAATCTCGATTGTAAAAAAAGGCTTATTTTATGCAAAATATGATATTTTCCCCCTTTTAAAAAAGATATCTGTTCATTACAGATTCTGTGGGATTCACCCTTGTATATTTATGTTCATGGTGCACTGTGGACTATTGGGGTTTCAAAACGGCAGTGTCTAGAGCAGATTTAGGCCAGTGATGGTAGTTGATGCTCTACACTCAGGGGTTAAGCACTTAACTAGTCCTGGTTAACTATCAGAGGCCTGATGAAACGAACCCTTCTATGATCACTAGAACTCTTATCTCATGCAAACATTCCTATACATTAGGTTTTCTAAAAAAAAATAAACCCCAATGTAGCCCCCATATACAATAAGTATATATTTTTCCTTTTTCTTTTTAATTTGCACGGTACTTTATGAAGGTCATTTAAGTATTTCCAAATGTTTTACCGAGTATGCATTGGTTGAACTTTATGTATTGGTCAAAATCATTTCTATTAAACCTGTTAATGAGTAAATGTTATTGACAGGAAGTGATTTTCTAATGACATGACATTGAATAATTTGAATCTATTGTTCACTGTGTTTATATTCCATTCGTTCTGCCTTTACCAGAGGACTAAATTGTCACATGAAACTGGGGAAAAATAAAAACAATGTGCTTGATCATAAGACTTGCGATGCAATCTGTTGACATTTCTGTCTTGTGGCTAATGATGCCATAGGGCCTTTTATATAATCTAATCATATCTCCCTCCAGCCCTCACTGGACAGTCCTGAAGTACGTGCGTGACTGCTATATTGTGCTGAAATCCAAAGAGATCACATATTGAGAATTGTGAGGTTTGTAAAGGTCTGCAAAAAGCCTGATAAAATATTAAAACATGCTTAAGTTGTGAACTATTTTATTTTCTGATGAGCGTAAATACTTGACTGTGTATACTATTAAATGGCTTGTATTGTGAACTTTGTTTCAAAAGATTTTAGTCCTGCAGTTCCGGTTTCTGGGAACTGCGAGAGGAGTCATTTTCTATTTCTAAAAAATCCATCATTTAGTTTTTTGCCTTTATTCACTGTCAATGATTTTGTGCCGCAAAACCCCTTTTTTAACGTAATGGATTGATCTTTGAAGTCTGTCTTTTTTCAGGATTCTTTGATGAATAGCAAGTTCAAAAGAGCAGCAATTATTTGAAATCGAAATCTTTCGTAACATCGAAAATGCCATTAGTCTGAATGAAAGTAACAATTAGAAGTTAAATACACCATTTGTGCAATAACTAAAAACCAAAATTCAGTCTCATTTAATAAAGCCAAACACAAATGATCAACACCAAAAGGTCCAGCTGTTTGTACATACAGCACAGACAACATAAAAGTAGCAGAATAAATCTGCTGCTGAGTGTACACGTCTCTTTAAAGTCTGTGTGGGCTTGAGTTAATGATTCACCAATCTTAAAACACATCCAGACTAATAATACTCCACAGCGGGTTAACCATTTATATTCTCCAGACTCACAGGTTACTGCACATTCTTGTTGCTTTGTTCTCAGAAATACCCTGATGCATAAAGTACACAAATAAAACTGTATATAATGCTCAGTCACATACTTTCCAATAGGTCATGGGTAAGTAGGCAGCGGTCACGGGGAGATGGGAAAGAAAAGCCTTCAGCGTTTGAGTTTTGGGTCATTGAAGGTCATTAGTGCTGCACCAGTCACCTATTAACAGACCCTCACTGATCTTTAACCCCAGCCCAGCTCTAGAAAACGTACTACACGTCCAAGGACTTCTCAGGTCTCACTGTGGATAACGGCTTTGAGAGTTTGTTGTGCAGTGCTGAGAAAGTTTGAAGGACATACAGAAGTTAAAGTTTCAAAGAATCCTCAAAAAGTCATTAACTTTGAGCTACACCAACAAGTGTAGCAAAAGAGCAAGTACATTCTGTGTGGGGAAACTTGTCTTGTGCTCAGCATGGAGATGACGTGGTTTTCGGGTAAAAAGCAGCAGCAAAACAACCAGTCCAATGTTTGTTTAATCTTTTTAATGTATAAACTCTGGGTACAAAACTTTCAATAAAATTTAACAGTACATTCTCACTCATTTTATTTGTTTGTTGAACAACCCATATATAAATGTTTCTGTTTACACATTTTCTAAATGTCTTAAATTATTGTGGGCTTCAGAAGTTACGGTACTCGAAGTGACCATTTCAGTAGTACACATTGAGATTTAGGTTTAATATAATTTGATCTGAATTTAATCAGGAAGGCTATGGGCATCTTATTTAAACGAATCATTCCAGCACTTCAACAAGCTCTTGTATTGAGCTAGAAAACCTCAAACATCCAGAGGTTCACCTGTATAGTGCTTGAACAAAAACAAGGCAAAACATAAATCCCTGGCACTATATCAACATAATGAAAATACTAATGAAAGAAAAAAGTACATTAAAAAAAACCTATGTATTTATTGGAAACTAGTTTTGATTAAAATGCTCAGAACTATTAAAAGTCCTTTATTTTTGCCTATGGTTGGCACTAAAGCAAGGACACTTCTCTCTCTTTTTTTTGAGATACCACAGTTTTTTTTTGTTAGTTTTTTTCCAAAGATAACAATAATGTTAAGTATAGTGAAGGATACAGTCTTATCTATTGTATACGCCGGACATTATATTTAATTTATGTGTTATAGACTTGAGAGTGCGTCTGAATGATGTTGGGACACATGCAAGCTATACTGAATCATGAAACTAAGAATGTTTAACATTTCTAAACCGTGGAGTGTTTCTAAACTAGTGAAATGATCGCAGTCCTCTAAACCCAGACCCGTCCATACATCAACAAGCAAACTTCCAGTCAGTTAAGGTGCGCTAGGTTGATCAAGCTATTAAACATGCAATTTCATTGATTTACAGAAAAATGTTTTCAAAACAATTTAAGTCGTTAAAAAAAAAAAAAAAAAGGTGAAAAGTTGTATTTAGTGAAGAGATGGAAGCCCAGTCCATTTAAGACAATGACAGGTTAAGAAAAAAAGTTTGTTCTGGATTGTAACCAGTGAGACGTTTCATGGCTCTGTTTTTAAGTGTTTATCACAGCTTTCAATAAAAAGAAAAAAAAAGAACAATTTCGAACAAAACTTCCCACTTCCTGGAAGTAGCCCAGAGAGGCACATACCGAAGATCTCACCATGGCGCCAGGCTGGATTAACCATTGACACGCTCATAGCCATTAACAAGCACAAACGATGCCATCCACCACTGATAATGACGTGAGGATGTTTGAGAAAGGTGGGTTGGCATGGTGACAGGTTAATGTATATAAAACCGCTTCTGCTGTCTTTCCACGATCGACGCGCCACATGACGGATAGGAGGGTTTGCATTCATCATCCTCTTTTCCTCCTCCATTACCACATCTATCATCACAGTTTGAGGCGTTTTCACTCTAAATTCCTCTTTGGAAGTGCGGCTTCCCGATTAAAATCTTTTTAAAATGTCACCTGAGAAGCAGAAGAACTATACAGATGTCACTTTGCACTGTCTCCTTTCTCCTAAAGACAAACGACACACAAAACAAGGGTAAAATTATCACTTGATAAACTGTAGTTTGCTTAACGTGAATTAAGGTGATTAGAGAAATTTCTGCAAAAATGCGCAGGCAAAAATGTTTATTGTTAATAGTTAGGGCCCTATGATTTCCGTGATGCCGAAAAGGCGGATGGAATCACGGAATCCAGTCATAAAAAAAAAAGGAATTTACTGTATAACGCGGAATGTCACAGAATTTCATGGAATTTACAGTATAACTTCATGGAATTTGTCAATTTTTTGATGAGTAAATAAAAAGCAGGTCAGTACACTTAAATCGCAATAAAGACTAGTGTCTGTGAATATTAAACAGCAAAAAGACTATTTAATTATTTAACCATCTAATTATGAATCCTGCATGTTCTGTGTATCTGTGTGTGGGATCCAGAAAACTTAAAACAGTAAACACAGAATTTGGTAAAAAATAAAATGCATTTCATAGAGCCCTAAACATGTAATTTTTGTTCAACTTTTAATACATTGTTAACTTGTATACATAAGTTTCATGATTTCAATTAACCCTAAAAGGGGAGACATATCCTGGGGATACAAACTTTTGAGAGGCTGTGAGGAGAGGCAGGGATAATTTCTTGGTTTTATGTTGAAAGGGTTGTGAATATGTTGCGAATATTTAGATCTGGGGGATACATCTTAAAAAATAAATGTTCCCCAAAAGCCTGTTGTGTCATATTTGACATTTACATTAACATGAGAAAATAAATAATAATAAATAAATAAAAAAAATGAAAAAGAATTTTTAATTTTTAACATAAACAAATGGTGTATGAGTAATCAAGTAAACCCAAGCTGCTTCAGTCCAGTAAATGTTTTTTTTTTACATTTAATTATAAAAAATCATTAAAGCTTTATGAGCAAAAAAGACAAGTACAAGACAAAGTATGAACTACCAAACAGAGGACAGAAGGCATAAAGTAGATTGTGTACAAGTTTTTTTAGCAAAGTTTTGGTCCTATTGATAATTTATAGGCCCTAGAAATTTGCGTATTAAATATTATACAGTAGGCTATAACATATTTATAAATGGGCATTATACTCATTGGTCAACAGAATTTTACAAAGAATGTATAGTTTAAGTTATGAGAGAATAAATGTAATACAAATGTGGCTAAAATGTTGTAACAAATATAGCCAAACAAGCACTCCTTTTTATGAATTTATGGTGGATACAAACATAAAAAAAAGAAAGAAAAAAAGTTGAAATTGAAATTGTATTTGTGTCCTTAGAAGATGGAAAATAGCAATACATTTATTTTCTGATTTCTCTTTATGGTCTTGCCATTTTGGGGGTTAATTAGACATGCCTTTTGATTACTTATATTTGATTGAACCAAAAAAAAAAAAAAAAAAATGGAAAAAAAAAAGAAAACTTTGAAACTGATTTCATAGGGCCCTAAATACTGTAATGATGTATTAAGCATAGTTCACACAGAAGTCACTTTCAAACCAAGCAGCTTTCTGTACGAAAATGCAGCAAATACACATGACCGATTTGAACCCGCGGCAATGTCTGTGAGGGGAAATCTTTCACCCTCACGCAAAACGACCATGTTAATTTCTATTGAAGTGACTGGATTTTGCCCATGAAAATTTGTAGAACAACAGTAAATGTGACTACAACTTACGCCTGTGTGTCCATCAAAGTGTTTTTAGCCAGCTGTGGGCACTTGAGAAGCTTACAGTGATTAGCTGCTTACCTGGTAGACGCCGGTGAACTAAACATTCCTCCAAGCATTATTTTTTATAATAATATTGTGGTAGTCTAAGGATGCCATCTGGCAAAGACATGAATACACAGCAGCAATATTAACTTTTCCTCCATTGTTGTTTAGTCGTTGTGCAAGTAGAATGCAACGGTTGGTCAGTATTTGTCCCGCCCCTCCTCTACTGTTATTGGATGGCTGGTTAAAAACATTTTACCTATATAACCGCTCAGTGGCTCAATTTTTCAATATACAGCGCTCCCTTTGCAGACAATTTAATAAATACTTCTTGGTGGACACACGGCCTTAGGAATGACAGACCATCCACGGGCAAAGTGTGTTTTCTTGTACACTAAAGCCGCTCACCTGTGACTGTGGTCCTGTGCTGTGTTCAGGGGGGCCAGTGGAAGAAGGTGAAGAGGGGACACTACCATTGGGCTCAGTGATCAGCAATGTCCGTCTTTCACGGGCCGATTTGGGGTCACACTTTGTCACCCGGAATCTATAGAGAAAGAAAGGAAGATGTAATGAGAGCAGTGTCCACACAAAGCCCAGACCTGAATCCCATTTGGCACATTTGGAACAAAAGCAGTGAGCCAGGGCCAGTCCAGTTCTTCCTCCACCAGGCTCAGTAAAGCATTTCTATATGGACCTGCTTTGTGCACAGTGATGTAGACATATAGACCAAAATGTAAAAAAATAAAGGAGCAGACTAAATCAAAGAATGGACAGTTAACTCGCAGATATTCAATAAATATACAGATTAATAAATATCTAGTTTAGTCATGAAACTCCAGATAGCACAGGCTGAATGTAAAGGCATTATATGCAATCTGTTAGCGATCACATCATTTACTATATGGCACAAGGCCTCTGTTGTTTCTGCAGCATTTAAATAATGGGGTTCAATGTTTGCTGTAAGCTGGTCCTCTGAAACCCTCTACGTCCCCAGCTCCACCTGTCTAGATCTGCTATGGGATTTACACACAGTATCTCACAAAAGTGAGTACACCCCTCACATTTCAGCAACCATTTTAGAAATTAAACTTGGATATATTTTAGAGTAGTCAATGTGCTGCTTGTATAGCAGTATAGATTTACTGTCCTCTGAAAATAACTCAACATACAGCCATTATTGTCAAAATAGCTGACAACAAAAGTGAGTACAGTCTAAGTGATAACAGCAGTAACCATGCAATGCCACATGTCCTATTCATCATGTTCATGTTTTTGACTACTAGACAGGACCATACATATTTGTGTATCTTGTATTAGAGCAGTTAAAATTTGGTGCTTTGAGTACAATTCTCTCATACTGACCACTGGATGTTCAACATGGCACCTCATGGCAAATAACTCTCTAAGGATTTGAGAAATAGAAGTGTTGCTCTCCACAAAGATGGCTTAGGCTATAAGAAGACTGGAAACACCCTGAAACTGAGTTACAGTACAGTGGCCAGGGTCATACAGAGGTTTTCCAAGACGGGATCCACTCGGAACAAGGCCTCGCAACGGTCAATCAAAGAAGTTGAGTCCTTGTGTGTCAGGTGCAGAAGCTGACTTTTAAAAAAACAGACGCGTGATCATGCCAGCATTGCTTTAGATGTTGCAGAAGCGGTAGGTCAGCTTGTCAGTGCTCAGACCATACGCCGCACACTGCAACAAGTGGGTTTGCATGGCCGTCGTCCCAGAAGGAAGCCTCTTCTGAAAATGCTCACAAGAAAGCCCGCAAACAGTTTGCTGAAAGCAACCTGTCCAAGAGCATGAATTACTGGAACCATGTCCTGTGGTCTGATGAGACTAAGATAAACTTGTTTGGCTAAGATGGTATCCAGCATGTGTGCCTTGCTGAGGAAGCTGAAGGTGATGGAGTGGCCAAGTATGTCTCCAGACCTGAACTGTATTGAGCACCTGTGGGGCATCCTCAAGCGGAAGGTGGAGAAACACCATGTGTCTAACATCCAGCAGCTCCGTGATGTCATTATTGAGGAGTGGAAGAGGATCCCAGCAACAACCTGTGCAGCTCTGGTGAACTCCATGCCCAGGAGGATTAAGGCAGTGCTAGATAACAATGGTGCTCACACAAAATATTGACCTTTGGACACAGTTTTGACATATTCACCTGGGATGTACTCACTTTTGTTGCCAGCTATTTTGACAATAATGGCTGTGTGTGGAGTTATTTTCAGAGGACAGTAAATATATACTGCTATACAAGCAGCACATTGACTACTCTAAAATATATCCAAGTTTCATTTCTATAGTATTGTCCCTTGAGAAGATATACTAAAATGTTTGCTGAAATGTGAGGGGTGTACTCACTTTGTGAGATACTGTACGCCTATTCCTGCAGCAGCGGCTAACAGCAACATGTCTGTGTATCTTTTGGCAGGATCAACTTCACACTTGCTCTACAGCAGCACTTGTAGAAGATCTAGACCACCAAGACCAAATACATTAACATTGTTATATCTATTAACATGCTAAAAACTATTTAGTTGTAACGACTGAAATATTTACGATTTCTTTTCTTCACTACGGTGTGCTTTCGTTTCTCCCTAAAAGCCAAAACTTAACGTCCAAATCAGTTAGATCAGTGATTGTTGTAAAATGCAATCTATTTTGGTAAACGGCAGGACGTGCTCGATAATAAAAAGAGTTATTGAATCTGAATTAAGCCGCTGTTCTCCAAGCGCCTTTTGTGCGCGCACTCTGAGATAGAGTGGAACACGGAGAAGCAAAGTATACTTTAAGCTTCGGGTTCACGTCCAAAGAAATACAGAAATATGTCAAAGTTTCTTGGCTCTAGTTTCTTGGTGAGTATTCGCTTAAACACAGTCAGTTATGTCTTAAATGAACATAAACAGTAGGGAAATAAGTCGCACGTGTAGCAGTATAATAGATACGTCCATTAGGTCTTAAAGTGACAGAAGCCCAATAAACCTGCTGCCGTCTGTTTCAATGTTAATAAAAACCTGAAAAAAAAAAGATTTAGGGCCAAATATACAAACCAGGGCAATTTGGAGTGAGAGCGCAACTCTAAAAAAGCAAAAGTGGAAAGTTCTGCACGGGATCTACTGACGACACGCAAATTAAAGAACAGTCAGATCATTTCCATAATGACCAACGCAATCTACCAATGAACAGCATCTGGTATAAGACATGCAAGACGTGTCTTTAGTAAATCCCTACAGTAGTTTAACGCCAAAAGAGGGTTTGCGCTGGCACATGCTGTTAGTAAATCTGGCCCTTAGTCGGATTAATCTATATTTAATGCATACAGTGAAGACTACGCAGTGGTTTTACATCTGATTACTTTCTGATGATAAAGACTGTTCTTTTTTCATATTTCACAGAAAAGCTATATTTGTTAAGCACTAAGTTGTTCCTAATCGAATGGAATATGTTGCTTGCTAACAAAAGAGTTGTCAATTCATGACACTTTCTCATCACTTACTTTTTCTAATACTTAAAATACATTGTTGTTAAGAATAGCTAAATAACCTCAGTGGGTCTATTTAAAGCCTCCTATTTATCATGTGGTATTAGTTATTTCGGTGATCGGTATAGGCCAATACTGTTTCCAGTGATCGGTAATCTACCCCCAAAACCCTGATCGGAGCACCCTCAGTGTTTCTGTATGTAAAACACACCTGCCCACAGACAGCACAGTGACCTCTCCTAAGTGACTGCGTCTCTCCAGTTTCTTGCTGGACGAGCGTCTCATCAGAGGCCATTTTTTCTGGTTGCAGCGGTTGCAGATATTCTTATGTCCTCCCATTCCTCCGATGGTGTGCAGGTGGTTGCAGGTGTGTTTGGCTGTGCTTGGCGGCAACCCTGGCAGAGCAGGGCTCTCTGGGCTGCTGGGTGAGTTTGGAGAGGTTGGCGTCACAGGGCCACTGTAGATAATTGAACAGAAAAAAATATCAGCTTAACTGCATGAAATACCCAAGATGACCTAGTTACAGTTGCCAAAATTTGTTATGTACAACAGAAAACACTATGTACAACAGTAATGTGGCCCATAATGTGCTTGACTTGACCTTCTCCAAGCATACTAATATTTGAAATGTGTATCATAGTAATAATGCACACTTTCACACACTATTTAAACAAAATAACTATTTATGCTATTGTTTGGACACACAGATAGTCTAGGCTTGACCAAAGAGCTATTAGCTTAGTCCTTGTATCATGACTCATGAGTAGTATCATTAAATATTTTTATAGCATGTTTACAATCTTAAAAGCTGCATCACAGTTGGTATGATTTGGTTCATTATTAATGCATTTTAAAATTACATTTATTTCTGTGATGGCAAAAAAATGGATTTACTTCATTTTTGATCCTTCAGAAATCATTCTAATAATGCTTTCATTCTAATATGAATAATGTTCAAAAGAGAGAAAATTTCTTTACTGTCACTTTTGGTGGGTTTAAGGCATCCTGCTGAATAAAAGTATTCATTTCTTAAATAAATAAATCTTACTGACCCTTACTGAATTTTGAATGTTTGTGTAGTTGAGACTTAAGTGAACATGTTTGAGTGATTATGCTGATGAATGCGTTTTGAATCGATTCACCTAAATAGACACTTTTAACAAGGCTGCATTTATTTGATAAAAAATGTAGTTCAGAGACTTTCAAAAACATTTTTAAAAAGCTGTAGTGTAAAAGTTTAAATAACACCATATTTAGGTACATGTTGTTTATTACCATGTACTAACTATTGTTCCTTGTCTTTACTGAATCTACTTTGCGACAGTGGCTGTTTGATGGAAATGATGGTTCTAACTCATTTTAGGCATTTCAGACATGTATTGTTATATCATTAATTTCAGATATATACGCATTGTTCTGAATATAAGATTACCCTGATTATAAGACGACACCCACTTTATAAAGATGTATCTTTTGGAAGAAGGCTTTTTGAGGACCAAAATCTTATCTTTTATAAAGAAAATAATTTATTTTCAAAAAATCATATTGCATATTTTTCATATTTTAATTTTAAAGGACAAGTTCGGTATTTTACACTTGAAGCCCTGTTTTAAGATCGTTTCTGATGAAATAGAACAGTTAAGATTAAAATTTGGACACATGTTGCTGGCCCGAGAATTTTCAGTTTCTGTGGTTGACTTCAACTCCATTGACTTGACTTGGACAAAAACTACGATAAAACCTGTTGGAAAGCATCTTTTGCAGCGATTTTTCTGTGAGCATATCAGTGAACACCCCAGACCACTCGGTGAGTTTCACGTCTTTGTAAACTAAAGTTTAATGCGTTTTATGAAGGATTGTTCCAGTGCACCTATGCAACCATTGTGGAGGTAGGGGGTCCTACCTACCACAGAAACCGATAATTCTCGGGCCAGCAGCATGTGTCCAAATTTCAATCTTAACCGTTCTATTTCATCAGAAACGATCTTAAAACAGGGCTCTAAGTGTAAAATACCGAACTTGTCCTTTAAATTAAATGCCATAAACATACATACCATAAACATAACATGTAGTTCTAATTTCCAGCAGATTTCTCACTTTTATGTACAGTGATAGATGCAGGCATGTCAAAAAACAGGTGTTTGATCCATATTACCTATCTGATCCAGGGGATATGAATGTTTTTTTCCTTAGGCCGATCACATAGCGCTGAAAAGACAGCTGTTTCTCCCTGATTTCTTTCATTCATCTGAATGAAGTCAGAGGGCAAGCGCCGGGCAAGACTTGTTCTGTGACTTGTTCTATTACGCTGCATCATTCTTACGCCGCATCAAAGCAGCTGCTTCGAAGAAATTGACAGGCAAGTGTGTCAGTACGTAGCCGAAATAAGAAATAAGGGGCATCGCTGGTGGGTATGTTCAGCTCTTTGGCGATTTCCAGTGCCTTCAGCTGGATGACGGCTCTGGTTATGGGCAGCCCCTCATTTCTTTTTTTCAGCTACATACTGACACACTTGCCTGACAATTTCTTTGAAGCGGCCACTTTTAGGACCACGGTAAGCTTTTCTTCGACTGTTAGCATTTTTAAGACTGTTTGGGCTTGCAGTCTTCTAACATATTATTATTTTATATACACACATATACACTCACCTAAAGGATTATTAGGAACACCTGTTCAATTTCTTATTAATGCAATTATCTAATCTACCAATCACATGGCAGTTGCTTCAATGCATTTAGGGGTGTGGTCCTGGTCAAGATAATCTCCTGAACTCCAAACTGAATGTCAGAATGGGAAAGAAAGGTGATTTAAGCAATTTTGAGCGTGGCACGGTTGTTGGTGCCAGACGGGCCGGTCTGAGTATTTCACAATCTGCTCAGTTACAGGGATTTTCACGCACAACCATTTCTAGGGTTTACAAATAATGATGTGAAAGGGAAAAACATCCAGTATGCGGCAGTCCTGTGGGCGAAAATGCCTTGTTGATGCTAGAGGTCAGAGGAGAATGGGCCGACTGATTCAAGCTGATAGAAGAACAACTTTGACTGAAATAACCACTCGTTACAACCGAGGTATGCAGCAAAGCATTTGTGAACACGCACAACCTTGAGGCGGATGGGCTACAACAGCAGAAGACCCCACCGGGTACCACTCATCTCCACTACAAATAGGAAAAAGAGGCTACAATTTGCAAGAGCTCACCAAAATTGGACAGTTGAAGACTGGAAAAATGTTGCCTGGTCTGATGAGTCTCGATTTCTGTTGAGACATTCAGATGGTAGAGTCAGAATTTGGCGTAAACAGAATGAGAACATGGATCCATCATGCCTTGTTACCACTGTGCAGGCTGGTGGTGGTGGTGTGGGGGATGTTTTCTTGGCACACTTTAGGCCCCTTAGTGCCAATTGGGCATCGTTTAAATGCCACGGCCTACCTGAGCATTGTTTCTGACCATGTCCATCCCTTTATGGCCATCATGTACCCATCCTCTGATGGCTACTTCCAGCAGGATAATGCACCATGTCACAAAGCTCGAATCATTTCAAATTGGTTTCTTGAACATGACAATGAGTTCACTGTACTAAAATGGCCCCCACAGTCACCAGATCTCAACCCAATAGAGCATCTTTGGGATGTGGTGGAACGGGAGCTTCGTGCCCTGGATGTGCATCCCACAAATCTCCATCAACTGCAAGATGCTATCCTATCAAAATGGGCCAACATTTCTAAAGAATGCTTTCAGCACCTTGTTGAATCAATGCCACGTAGAATTAAGGCAGTTCTGAAGGCGAAAGGGGGTCAAACACAGTATTAGTATGGTGTTCCTAATAATCCTTTAGGTGAGTGTATGTATATATATAAGATAACTACAATATTTATGATATCTAGTATACAGTATATATTTGCTGAGCTCTATACCACAAAATAAAGCAGGAAAGAAGAATGCATTTAACCCTGAAAAAAGCTCCACATTTCTCAGGTATTCTATTATATTTTAGCTGAAATGCAGCATAACTGTTACTTTAGACAGGCAGACTCTCTCCCCAGCTGCTTTATCTGTCTTTTCCTCTCTGCCTCTATTTATTTTGTCCTTCCACTCTGCCAACTAAAAGAGGGAAATGCAGTGGTCTTCTCTTATCTGTCTTCATTACACTGCGGGATGTTGTTCTGCTCTGTGTGCATACGCGCGCGTGCCTCACTCGAGAGGCAGAGGAAGAGCAGCACAAAGATACTTCACTTGTCACCTGCAAGAGGGGCTATGAGGAACATAAAAGAGGGAGAGACACACATGCAAACGCACACTACACTCTACGTATTTTCGGTGTGTTTGGCAATGGAGAGCCACAACTAAACAGTGCAAGATCAGTTTGATCATTTATAAACACAAATGGTCCTGTCCCCTTAATGCAGTCATTAGGGAGTCACGGTTGTGCTGGTTGTCATGGTCCCATTAGTCCCTGCTGGTAAAAGTTGAAACTACACCATCTAGCTGCCAGTGCTGGAGAGTAGTTGCGCGTAGCAACGTTAATATCTTAACTAAAATTTGCAGTAGCTTGACAGGAGTGACTTTACTTTTAAAGGGGTGGTTCAGAAGTTTGGACATCGGGCCTCATTTCCAAGTTAGCCTGTTATTTATCAGTGGAGACAGTTTTCAAACATGTTCATCCAGTAGTTCCAGTTGCATAGTTCGCCGGTGCTAGGCTAACGCGAGTCAACGGTAACTGCTAGCCTGCCATTAAAAACAGTTTTACCCACTCCACAGTACACCAAAAGCAAATAAATCATAACGCCAGACTATCGATGTAAATGTCTGTTGAGAGAATAATGTTATAAATCAAACTACCCTTTCATTGCATTGCAATAGTTATACTTTGTTCCCTGTATTTATTAGCGCACTCTACAGCAGCGGCGGAGTGATATGTAGTTACCTAGGCAACCGAGAGAGGTAGTGAGAGAGAGAGGTAGAGAGAGGTAGTGCAGGTAGTTCCGACTGTAGTGCGCTTCGGTTATGTGTTTACTTTTCGGCGCAGTACTACTAACCGGAGCAAAGTAAAATTCCGCCGCTGCTGAGAAACTAGTTCCTGTAAATGTATTGCGATCATTGAGATGCAAGAGTAGTTTGATTTTTAACATTATTCTCTTAACAGACGTTCACATCGATAGTTTGGCGTTATCGATAAAGAGCGCAGGTCTGAATGAAGTGAAATATTTACCTAATATCCACTGAGAATACTGGAATATTCAGCTGGTAAACTACTACCGCAGGTAAAGACGTTGCACGAATACACCATGTTTTTTTGACATGTATACCTTTAACAATCCTGTTAAACTTAATGTACAAAGCAAACAGTTTGCTGAAATAAACATTAACAACACTGAAATAACACGCGCTTTATCTTTTGTTACTATAGCACAGTACAGTATATAGGGTTCTGCGCACTTTCTTGTAGAATCATTATTAGTCCAATTCATTTTTAATATTAAAACAAAGCGATTCAGCATCATCAAGAACTTAATTTAACAATGGATAAGAGAAATGTGACATCCTTTGTTTTTTCCCCCTTTATAGTTTTAAAAAATAAAAATATAATATTCTGTGCATATGGAGGGATTTTTGTTTCTATTCTTCCGAGTATGTGGGATATTGTGTTTCTCAGCATCTCCATGTGGATCAGAGAGAAATATCCCGAACAGTGCACAATGATCCAATAATGCATTTTAAATTTCTTTACACGAATTTCATAACAAAAGCAAAATACATTATTTTATCTACGAATGCTTTGTTATTTGTAATTTGATAACTGTAATCAAATAACTATGCACATCCAATATTGTCTGTTTAAGTAGCTTCAGAGTAGTTAGCTACTTTTTCTAGTAATGTAGCAAACTACTTTTTAACTACTTTTGTCTGTTGTTGAACTACTCTAAATTAGGCAGCTTGTAGCTTGGAAGCGGCAAAACTATCTTTCCCATCTGATGACTACTTATAAGTAGCTGTGTATTCTAACAAAAAATTTACATGTAACAACTACTGTAAATTGCAAACTCCACCCGTCCACTCATAAGCCACACCCCCAGACTCCTCCCCCATGGAAGCCCTGGATCATCACTCCTTTTTTTCCCCTTTTCCATTGCTCTAAACCTATCACCTTCCGTATGCTCTGCTCTTCTTTATATCTGTCTCATTCTTGACTTGAGGAAGCAAATTCACTGCGTGCTTATACAGAGTGACCTCATTGTTCAACCCAAATCTGGTATCCACATGAATGCTAAGACCAAAAAAAAAAAAAAAAAAAAAAAAAATCATACCACACACAAAATTAGAGGAGGATATTTGGGGGAAATAATGCATTAAAGGAATTCCCAAAAATGAGAATTCTGTCATCATCTACTCACATTCCTGTTGCTCCCAAACCCATATGATCCAAGCCTCAAGAAGGATAAAAAAGGACCATAAATGTATCAAGTAATTAATTTTTTTGTATTTTTAGTATTATAGTATTTTTATATTCAAAGTAAATTATATTTTTTGAAAAATCTGTAAAAAAAAAAAAAAAAAAAAAAAAAAAAAAAAGAGTAACGTTTTTAATGAATTGGTTGAACCTATCGAAATGATTCATTGAGGTACTCTCACTGATCAGGTTACAGCGGGGGTTTTTTGTGTTAAAAGCTCACTGGAGGGGAAGATTATCAGTGAAAACAAGGACTATCATATCACATCAGAAGCCTTAAAGTACACATTTACAGTAGGACCACTTTTAAAATACTTTCATGGTCTTTTTGAACTCTAGTTGAAACTTAAACGCAACCAGTACATTTATCTCCTTTTTTGTTCCACTGCATATATGAAACCCTACAGGTTTGGAATGACATGAGAGTGAGTATATGATGACAGAACATTCATTTTGTTATGAGCGAACGATCCCTTTAATCTAGGGATTGATGTGTAAGACTTTGAATTACATAAAATAAAATATAACATCTCAGGATAAATAAACATTCACTCATGTAATTCGAAATGTTTCAGGAATATGGTGTAGTATAGCTGAGGTAAGGAAAAAAAGTGGAGTGTCACAATTTTTTATCTTTAATCTCATCCAGTGATCAGATTAAAGATGATCTTGAGGTAATCATAGTACCAGGTATTGAACTGCCACAATCTATAAACTGATGTCATGATGCTGGTAAAAATAGAGAATGATAAAACTAATTTCTTTTATATATATCAGAGTGGAGACTGCTCCACCCAGACTCATATTTCATGATGACTCTGTATATGTGATTTTGAAAGATCCTTCCTGGATCTTATTCTGGCTTGCAGCACTGTCAGTGATTGATGCTTCTTTGCTTCATGGTGATTTTCCCCACAATGTGTCATATGAGACAGGCAGAAGAACCACCTCAACACGAATCTGTCCTGTTTTGCTGCTGCTGTTATTTGAGAAGTGACAGCGCCATCTTTTGGAGGGATGTGGTACTGCTTTACAAAACACCTTTTTGAGTTTTGTAAGCTGTGGTCACTTGTAAAACAAGCATTAATGTTTTGCTAGTGAATCATGTGATCAAGTATGCTACTATGCTTTTAAAAAAAATACTCTGAATACATAGCCTAATTAAATTACCAGCATAATAAACTGAGTGATACGTTTAATTCAATAATTAAAATGTATTTCATTTGTCCCTCTTTAAACTTCATTTAATGTCATTTATGTAAAACCCAAAAAGTCTTTTTCAAAAAAAGGTCACACTGTAGTGTGTGTGTGTGCGCATGTGTACTTTGCGAGGGCCAAATGTCCCATTATTGTCATATTATGACAACCGACTAGTGAGGACATGTTACTGGTCCTCACTAGTTAAAAAGGCTTATAAATCAGCCAAAACATCTTTTTATTTAAATCTAGTGTTTTGCACATGTTTCTGTGTGTAGTTTTAGGGGTTGCGATAGGCGATGCTATCCTTTATACCATTAACTTGATATGTAAAATCAATGGAAGTCTAACTCAGTGAAACAGACATGCGCGTGTGTGTGTGTGTGTGTGTGTGTGTGTGTGTGTGTGTGTGTGTGTGTGTGTGTGTGTGTGTGTGTGTGGCAATGAGTATGTAAGCATATGATTTGGTTTTGAAACAAATTCAAAACACCATCTGTGCAAATTATGAACAACTAAATTAAACATGCAGATGTACATAAGATTATCAAAACTACTAGTTCAGAACACCATTACAGAAGACACAAATAACAAGTATAAGAAAGACATAAAGGAGGACTCACCCCTCTGAGTCTATACTCTCCTGAACCATGGCTTGGAGTGCATCGGAGTTGGCTGGTGAAGGAAAATGAGAGAGAGTTTATTAAATGACTTCTTAAATTCGCACAGGGAAGAGTCTGCAGCCTCAGATGTAGAGCCATTTGCTTGACTGGGTTCTTCAGACTAATGAAAGCAGCTGACTGCCTTCTGATGCAACTGCTATGCAGCACATAATCGCACTGGACAGGGTAGCTTCAGGCCATCAATGCACACATTACAAATATTAGTGTAAATCACATTTCACAGCTGTACAGGCATCTTATTAAAGCAACAGAGGAAGACAACATGGAGATGCCACACTAAATGTCATTTTCAAAGGGTGGCACTTGAATTGTGCAATCACTGGCAGTGAAAGTGCCTTTCATTTCACAAAACTTTCAGTTCCTTCCATTTACACAGAAGAGCACCTTATCCATTTTAAGAAGTTGACAGCTACATGAATTGTGTTCTTCCACTAGATGTTTCCTGAAAAGATGTTTCTGTGCTGCTATCATGCAGTGTGACAAAGCTGTGGAGATGGTGAAATATGAAAGATAAACACACAAACACAAGATATAAGGAGGAGTAATGTTCATATGTCACACTGAGGGGAATGAAACGTTTTAAAAGGCTGGTGATCAGGAGTAGTAACCATGGATTGACTACTGATGTTTTTCTAAACATGTCTGAATAGACTAAATAAAGTGGTAAATTATGTTTTTTTGTGCATACAAAGCACGCACCTCGCTTCATACAATTGAGGTTAAACCACTGAAGTCACATGATGACTTTAATGATGTCTTTCCTATCGTTCTGGACCTTGAATGCGTAAATTGCATTGCTCCCAATGGAGGGACAGAAAGCTCTCGGATTTCATCAAAAACATCTTAATTTGTGTTCCGAAGATGGATGAATGAATGTATTACGTGTTTGGAATGACATGAGGGTGAGTAATTAATGACAGGAATAACATTTTTGGGTGAACTATCCCTTTAATAGAGAAAGATGCTGAACAGACACCAGGTAATTCACACACACATCTCTCTCTCAATAATTCATTCAAATAAATGTAATCTTACACACTACTTTATCTCTGTGTCTGAGTTGAAGCGGGCCGAATGCTAGATTTAATGAGCCGTAACTAATTAAAATAACCAACATCTTACAGCAAACATCAATAACAGCTTTAAAGTCACCATGAAATCAAAATTGAAGTTTTTTAGCTTTTAGTACAAATATGTAAGCCTTACTGTTCTCTATAAGCTAGTGTGCTCCAAAAAATAAAATAAATAAAAATCACATTCAGAAGATAAAAACAATAAAAATTGAGTCTCTCTTTTGCCAATATGGAGAAATGATTTTGATGACATCACTCTGCACTTCCACTTCTCATCAGATTTTCTGTCCAATCAAATGCTCTCTAGAATCTAAAGGGTTCCGCCCCTACACTATAGACGCTAAAGCTAAAATTGGTCACTTCACACAATTACCATTTTCTACATGGTGAATGGCACATAGTGCACTAGGGGATAGGGAATGATTCAGACAGTGTAAATATGCTTTCAATTGGGGCGAATGAAGTCTGGTTTCACGTTTGTGTCACGCAAACTGCCACAGCGGCAGCGCACACACAGTCTGCTCTGGTCCTGAGACACGACAGCACAGAGCAGATCATATGATCGAGTCGGGGCAGACCACAAAACGTATCGGACGGAACCATTTTAATTCTGCACAGAATGCTATATTTTAAAGCGACATGGAGGAGAAACGGTTAGAGATTAGGCGGAAACTGCAGCTTTACCTTACTCAATGGCTCTGGCCGAGCTGTGATATAAACACATTGACTAATGCTGCGCCTTTCAAGGAACTTCAGTGGGCCTTTAATGGAATAGTTGACTTCAAAATGAAAACTGTCATCATTTACTCACCCTCAAGTTATTTCAAACCTGTATGAATTTATTTCTTCTGCTGAACACAAAGGAAGATATTTTGAAGAATTTCGGTAACCAGACAGTTGATGGACCCCATTGACTTCCATAGCAGAAAAAAAAAAAAAAAATACTATTGTTAGTCAATGGGGTCCATCAACTGTTTGGTTACCAACATTCTTCTTTAAAATATTATATGTATTTCCAGGTTTAAGTAGATTGTGTGAAGTCAGTTGAAACTGCTGAAGGTATTTGAATCAGCCTGGAGACACACTCATTGGAGCTGATTGGAGAACATGTTGTCTGGTCTGAACTCATGTTGATTCACTGTTCTGAGGTCAGCTGAGGGTTGTTAATGCTCCGTCACAATCAATGCTGCATCACGATCAATGTGACTGACTGGTTACCACATCTCATGTTTCCCTCAGTGTATACAACCCACAAAGACATGCTATCAGTTCTGAGAGGCCTTGTGTCCTGCACTAATCATCATTAGCAAGTGGTGTGATGTACCTTACCTTCATTTTTCATGATGTAGTTAACAATTTGGCCCACTGTGTCAGCGTTGGCATCACTGAAGGTGTCATTCAGATCTGAGAGAGAGAGAGAGAGAGAGAGAGAGAGAGAGAGAGAGAGAGAGAGAGAGAGAGAGAGAGAGAGAGAGAGAGAGAGAGAGAGAGAGAGAGAGAGAGAGAGAGAGAGAGAGAGAGAGAGAGAGAGAGAGAGAGAGAGAGAGAGAGAGAGAGAGAGAGAGAGAGAGAGATTGTGTTAAAAATAGAAGAATGACCATTTGTTCTACTGAATATTAGTCAATTTGCCTTTGCTGGAAAAATTAATCAAGTGAAGATTAAAGTGTATAAGTGATGTTTAAAGTGTATAAGTGATGTTTATTTTTCAAAAAAAACACTCAGGTTGTTTAGTGTCAAGCAGAACCAAAGCAGACACGCAACAACTGAGGTGACACAAGACATCCAGGGTTTTGGTTTGGTTTAACTCAAACCGTCATCACAAACCAACTGTTATTAGTGTTTGTTATTTCATCACATTCAATATGCAGGTGGTATGAAACATTATTTTTGCTGACACAGTAGTACTACAAAGGACTTGCTTATGATAGCAGAAAACACTAACATTTACAAAACTAACTATAAATATGGTCTGTTGACTTCAGTGAAAGGCTTCGTAAAGGCATCTGGAGATGGATGGGAATTTCTGTGCTCAGAGGGGGCCGCTTACAGAAAAACACACACACCACCCATGTCCTTCCTGAAGCCATGGACCCCTGCTCGAAAGGACGCACTTCCTGTGTTGGGTCATTTCACAGCTGGGAATCAGACAGAGAAATATGTAGTTCTGGAGTCATATAAAGTTAATGACTACTAATCTGCTTTTGATAGTTTTTGATTTGCATGTATTAATCTACAGCTAAATAACGTCCATACACAATGCCAAAATACCTATAGGGTCGGTCCAAGTTTACTAACAACAAAAAAGCCAAAATTACACCCACAATGATCACCCCAAAGCCGCATTTCAGTTTCTCTCTAATCAGAGCCACAGTTACTGTAAATCCATCCACAAATGAAATCAAATTACTGGGCCCACAGATCCTAATGAGAGCAGAGGCTTATGGGAAATTGGTGAGTGGCTCTAATTACTCTCAATATCTTTTAACAAAAATATTCTGAAAAAAACAACAACATTTAAGAGGAAATGTATTGAAAAAACAAATAAAAAGATTCTAGACAAAGCAGAGATTATATTTACAGCACTTGACTCAGCGTTGTTATCGTTAACAAAAACGGTAACACTTTACAATAAGGACTCATTAGTTAACATTAGTTAGTACATTAACTTACATAAACTATAGCCTAAATGAGCAATGTGCCTATATATTTACAGCATTTATTAATCTTAGTTAATAAAAATGTTCATGTTAGTTCACAGTGCATGAACTAATGTTAACAGATATTTTTATTTTATTTTAAATGTATTAGTAAATGTTGAGATTAACAACTAGATTGATAAATGCTATAGATGTATTTTTCCATTGTTAGTTCATGTTAACTAATGTAGCTAACTAATGTTAAATGAAAAAAAAACTATAAAAACATATTTTTTGTTAATTGAAATATATATTTAAATTAATATATATTAGTTTATATATATAATTATAAGTTGAAAAATGTTGCCTTGGCAAGCTGAAGTTACTGAAACTAAAATGAAAATAAAGATAAATCAAAGCTAAAAAGAAATATTCAAACAAACATGAATAAAAATGAACAAAAACTTTAAATATAAATAAAAGCCAATTTGACATTAATACATTTCATAAATAATACTAAACACTGTCTAGGCAGATTATTAAGGGGGAAAGATACATTTCTAGTGCTCAATCACATGCAAAATATGGGTGGATCCAAAGATTTGAAGACAAACAAAAAGACAAAGAAAGAGAGAGAGAGAAGGTTGTGTCAGGTTGAACAAGTCCACACACTTAAGTTTCCTTCAGACAATGCCACGTCGTGTACATTCTTAGAAAAGCATGCAAACCATACATAGAGACTTGCATTTAAAAATAAATACATTTAAAAACCATGTCAAATTTGAAAAATAACATTGTTGATCCTTTAGCTTAAATGTGGATAAGTTGATAAGAAGAGAATGTGGGCCAGTGTCCGGGAGCTAAAATGCCTGAAAGACTCCACCACAGCAGTGTACGTAAGCAAACACAGTTTTAAACAACACAAAAACAGGTTACAAACAATAAACTTAGGAAAGGTGAACATGGAGAATGTTCACAATACAATTTGAATTACTGTGGCCAGCCCTGTTCTTTACTACAAGGTGTGACAAATTATCTTCCAATACAGATGTTAAAAAAACCTTTGTTCTCTAGTATGTGTGGTGTATCTTTGGGAGGATGACATGTACTATATAGTACTAGTGCACACCTCACACTGCACTTGCCTGCGCTATGAACATGAATGGTACCTCAAATTGAGCATCATGTTGTTGAATATATGCGGTTACTTTTTGAAAAGTAAAAAATCTGGACCCATCAAAAAATATATATATATATATCTCAGACACTAAAGTGACCCAATTCATTTCTAGTAACCAGGGGGGTGTAATACATAAACTTTCTATCTTGGTCTTAACTTAAGGTATGGTAAGTACATTTTGGATTTTTCAGAAAAATTCGTATTACAGAAGCAAATCTTAACCCTCTACTGCACAGTGTTGCCATATGGCAACATACCCTTTCTTTGGACATTTCTTGAAATTTGAAAATAAACATGAGCTCTGATTGATCTTAAATTCATAATAGAACCTGGTGGTAACCAATGATATGCTTTGATGACATCACGACACTACACACACCCTTGCAACGTCATTCTTTTCACACACTTTTGATGACTCCAGCTGCTGAAAAAGTGCTCGTGTATATGTGAAGATTTTCCTCATTTTTTTCATATTTCTTCGGAATAAAAAAATACATCAAGCATCTGGGATAAGTTCTAATCTTTTTTCAATCATTGTCACATTGTTTTGATACTTATATTACCTTTTTATTTAATAAAATAGGTATGTTGCCATATGGCAACATTGTGCGGTAATGGAACAATATTTTGCCCATGCTAATGCAGAGTAGCTTTGTATGAATGACAATGTATGGATGCACTGATATAGTTGGATGGTTGTATTCTACTCATATATTTATATATATTTGTATATATTTATAAAGTAAAGTAAAAGTAAAGTATAAAAGTAAAATATATATCCGTCTTGACCGCTTTGATCACTGGCCAGAGATGGGTGCACCAAAAGGAAGGTGCAAGAATCCTGGCTGCAAGGGCATCGACAGAGTTGTTTGCTCTAAGTGCAAGGTGCACCTCTGCCTCAAAGGTGGGGTATGTGATTTGCAAAACGGCCGGGAGATTTTGAAAATACACAACTCAAAAGGTCCTACCTTCTTTCCTCCAACGCTGGCCCTGACTCCACCCACTCGAAGAGGGGCATGGGGGAGGGGTGTATGGTACGACCGTTTGATTGACGCACTTACTGTCCAATGATTCTAGGTGGTCTTGGAAATGATTGGCTGGAGTTTTGAGTCCTGCCCGTTCCACAGATGATTAAATTTTTTAATTTTCATGTCAGTGCTTCTAACTCAGTGGCTGTAAGTGGGTTAGGAATAGGATTTCAAGTGATTTTGAAAAAATGGTCAAAAAAGAAAATCACATACCCCACCTTTAACGGAGAGAACAACTGCTTTAAGGCGTTTCACATCGAGTAGTTTCACTTGAACAGTTCTTATGAGTTTGCGTCAGATGTTTTGTAAATGTTGTTGAAATAATCGTTTCACATTGAGTAGTTTCACTTGAACAGTTCTTATGAGTTTGCGTCAGATGTTTTGTAAATATTGTTGAAATAATACTTTGTTTTTATTATTTAAAATGTTTTCAAGAGCTTTGTGTACAAAATATGAAACTAATTTTCAATTTCATTTCTAAAAGACAGGTCTGTAATCATCTATGAATTTCATGTCATTTTGGGAGAAAACGCATCAGGCTGTTCCATTGTCGCACAATGTTGCCATATGGCAACGTACCCAAAAGTGAAAAAGTGAAAATATGAAAATATGAAAAAAGTGAAAATATGTCTGCGCCTGCGTTATCTGGCGTTTACGGTACTGTATCTGTTCTGTGACGACTCATAATGGCTGCCGTAATGTTGGTTGCAGTTTGTGTTCTAACTGCAATATTGCATGTCGTGGCCCGTGGGAGTAATTATTAACAAGTATTTTGTCATCAAAGCACAGCACATTATCTGGATCTTCCAAAAGTCTCTCCACCATCAAACATCGCTACTCTTCACCTTATACAATTAATAAATGTAACGTCATTCTCGAACAAAGCTATTGTAGTGTGAATTTTACTATTGGCTTTCAAAAAGGTTTGAAGTTAGGAGGGGTTATCCTAAAGTTAAGACAGTTTTCAAGATGTTTTTTGTCGAGTTAGGATGCTTCTGTAATACCCTTTTCCTATCTGTAGTTAAAAAAAGATAATACACTTAGGGTGTATTCACACCAAGAAAGTCAAATAGTTCACTTGCTTTGGTCCGGACCAAATCATTTTTTTTTTTTTTTTTTTTTGGTACGGTTCGCTTTCACACTGCTCTTTTTGCAAGTGAACCAAAATTTGTAAACAAAACCACACGTGTGCTAAGGTCGTCCATTCATTGGACAAGGATTCTCAAGTAGGGAAATCAGGAAGTGCAAAAAAGGCTCAGCATGGAGATATTTCGTACTGCAATATTTGTTATTTGACTAATTTTGTGTTATTCTGTACAAACGCAATATGAAGAAACTGCGCAGAAGACGGATAAGTTATAAAGTTTTCATTCATAGAGAGTGGGGCTATGTTCACACATTCAAATAATGAGATTCTTATTGTATATACTGCTAACAAGTGCTGTCAATGTTAACGCTTGCGATTAAGTTTGTCCAGTTTAACGCAGCGTCAGTATTGTAACTATCGTTACATTATATGAACTGCTGCAAAAGCTTTTTTTTGCATATGCGCGATTAGAC